TCTCATGGGTGCAGTACCATCTTGGATTCCCCCAAGGCTGTGAAAACATTCTGTCCCCTTCACAGTGCCTTTTCTCACTCGGTGATTTGTGCTGCTCGCTCTCTGTCATGTCACAGGCTTTTTCAGGCCTACTGGCACAGTTGGTAGCATACCAAACCACAGGGCTAGAAGCCACAAGTGACTGTGGCTTGAATCTCCGGCCTGGTCAGCCTGAGAACATGGAAGCGTGTGGGCCAGCGCCCAGGATCCTGACACACGGAAGGACCAGGGGAAGGAACTGTGGCATGAGCAGACCTTGTGGAGGGTGCTTTTCTGTCTCCCCATTTCTCATGCATGCACGTGTGCTCGCTCATCAGTAAAGAAAACATTTAGGGCTGGCCCTATAGCTAGTGGTCGAGGAAACCAGATCCCACATGATCAACTGCGGTTTAAATCTTGGCCCTTGGGTGTGGTTGAGTGAGTGCCCTAAATCCTGACAGGATGGAGAAATGGAGAAGGGATTGTGGCATGAACACACCCCATTGGGAGAAATCACCCCCAGGGGGATGGCCACACCACAATCCCTTCTCCTCCATTCTCCTCTCGGGATCTTGGGCACTCACATACACACACCTGGCCTGAGTTTAAGCCACCGGGTCTGGGACTTGAACTGCGGTCGGCTACATGAGAGTCCAGCAACATAGCCATTACACTAACTGCTGGTCCCTCCAAGAAAAACATTTTTAAAAAGCTTTTTAAAGCTGTCTCATGATTTTTTAAAATTTTATTTATTTATTTTTTCATGATTCTGATTGTCTAAAAAACTCTGATCTGTGAGTAGGGCTTACCCATTTAGGACTTCCTGCAGGGTGATCTGGCCAGGTGGTTTTGCTGGAAAGCCCAATGTCAGAATCTTCAGATCGTTCCTTCTGGGATGGTCATGTTCCCCAGAGAAAGCTCGAGTCTGAGGCCTGGTGGGAGAAGGCCTGGCTTCGGCATTCTGGGTGAGGGAGATGACTGGGACTCTCAGTTTCAGGGCAGGGCTCATGCCCTTCACTGCGTCCCAGGAACAAACTCCATCTTGTCTCAGGGAGAGAGAGGATGTGAGTACTGAAACAAGCCCCCTCTCTTTATTAGCCCTGCCTGTAATCACCACCCAGGCACCTGACACATCTGTCCCTGGGGCTGACTTTCCACGTGAACAGGTGGCTCCTAGCTCTTCCAGCTGCAGGTTTAGGATTCAACTTCTCTGATTCTGCAGAGGACTCAACACTGGTTCTCTGCTTTCCGGCTTCTCTGATTCTGTTGTTTTCTTCGCTCCTGTTCTCTTTTGTCCTTATAGATTTATATTTAAAAGAAAACCTATTGTTAGTGACAGAAGGAACGTAAAGCAGGGAGGAAAGATAACCACATGTTCTACACACCACTAAGCTATTTTTAAGTAATTGTTTATTATTATTATTTTTCAATTTGCTCTAGGGCATGTGCACTCACCAGAAAGAGAGAGAGAGAGGGGGAAAGTGAGAAAGCAAGCCACCAGGTCCAGGACTTGAACGGCGATCGACCACCTGGGAGTCAGTGCCTTAATCACCTCGCCACCTGCTGGCCCCGCCATTATACTTTTTAAAGTTTATTTCTTCATGAATGAGAGAGAGTGTGCACCCTCAGCAAGGTCCTGATGCTGTGATCCACCCCAGCCTCAGTCAGCCGTGCGACCTGCATACACGAGGGCTCAGTGTACTCAGGAAGTCTCTGGACGCAGGCCTGCGATCTCCCCATGTGGATCAGCCTGAGAGGCCTTGTGCTTCATGGCTATGCTGCTATTTGGCCCTGTTCATTAAAACGATTTGAAAAACTGAAATGTCATTGCGATACTAGCCTTACAAAATTGTGCAGTTTGAGGGACCAGCCGGTGGTGTGGTAGTTAAAGTGCTGGACACTCCCACATAGCCAATCACAGTTCAAGTCCTGGACCTGGTGGCTTGATTTCTCGCTTTCTCTCTCTCATCACATTGAAATAAAGGAATGAATAAATAAAAATAAAATTTTAAAAATTGTACAATTTGATGGTTTTCCATGTATTTGCAAGGTTGTGCAACCATTATCACTAATTCCAGAACATCCTGTCACCCCAAAGGAAATCCCATACTCCTTACAAAGTTTTATCGAGACATTTATTCTTCTTTATGGCAGAATAATGTTCCACTGTATAGATAAACCGTGTTTTGTTTACCCATTCACCACGTGATGGATTCTTGCTTTGTTCTCGTTTCTTGGATATTAGAGATACCGGTGCTGTGAGCATTCACTCACGTGTAAGTGTCAGTGATTTTCAAGCCATTGGGTCAGGGCTCAGGTCGGTCATGGGGGAATCCAGAGCCTTAACCAGCATGTTACCCACTGGTCCTAGCCAAGTGCTTTTGGAATCTAAAAGCTCTGCGAGTTCAGTACCGTCATCCTTACTGTCTGAAGAGGAGAACATGCAGAAGAGCTGTGGGGTTAGCTCAGGTCACACGACGACGATGTTGCTGACTTGGGATTGAATTCAGGTCTGCTGCATCAAGGCCGCGTTTGCTCTTCTCTCTTCTTCTGTGACTCTTGAAATCCAAGACTCATTGAATCTTAGACCCACAAAGCCGTTGTGTTTCAAAAAATCATTCATGCAAACATTAACATACATAAGATAAAGGGTAATAAAACAAATACGGTACATAAAAGGAAACTTGTTTCTTTACACTCACACTTCTTTTTTTTTTGAGAGGTTTTTGCCATAGGGCGCATGCACTCACCAGAAAGACAGAGAGAGACAGAGAGAGAGAAAGCGAGAAATCAATCCCCGGGGGAATGGCCACGCCGCAATCCCTTCTACATTATCCTCTCGGGATCTTGGGCATGCACGCACATGCATCTGGTGTGAGCCACCGGGTCCGGGACCCGAACCACGGTTGACTACATGGGAGTTCAGCGACATAGCCATTACGCTAACTGCTGGTCCCACACTCACGACACTTCTGACACTAAATGTGCAGGTTTTTTCCCACAACCACAGCATATTCTCCACCTCTCTGAACACCAGCTGCACCTCCTGTAATTTAATTCAGACATGATCTACCTGGGGTCATTGTGGGAACCCACAGGCTAAGGGCTCAGTCCCACCTAGATGCCGATTGCGAATCAGGCCCTCCAATACTTCTGACTGACCTGGCCACAGAGCGGGGCTTCCCGTGACCCCTCCTCATGCTGGGCAATCAGCAGTAAAAGCTCAGGGGACACACTCCTCGTTTACTGGTTTATTATGAAAGACTCTGGTGAAGAGGTGCATACGGCAAGGTAGGTAGGAGGGTCCTGAGCACAGGAGCTGCTGTCCCTGTGGAGTAGGGGTGCACCGCCCCCTTGAATAGGGACGCATCCACCTACTCGGAAGTCCCCCAAGCCCTGAAGTGTAGGGGTTTATGGAGGTTTCATTACGCACACAGGACTGGCCATTGGTGACTGTCTCAATCTCTATCCCCTCCTCCTTCCCCGCAGGTCGGGGCGGTGGCCTTAAAATCAGGACTCTAGGTCCACCACATGCCCACGGCAGAGGGGAGCAGAGGGAACAGCGGGCCTAATCTTCCACCCGCGTTTGTGAAATGACGTGACTGAGGCTGGAGAGAAGGGGGCTAAGCTCACAGGGTGCCCCTTTCTGCACCCACTCACCTATGGGTGAGAGTGGGAGACAGACATTTTCTGCTTCAGAGTGATTTCCTGTCTAAGGGCTGGACATTTGCCTGTTTTTCCTCTGGGAGTGGGGTCTGAAAGCCCCAACTCTCACATCACATGTTGGTGCCCTCTGACAACCCACCCGCTTCTAGGAGCTTCTGCCATCAGTCGTCTTGTTACCATAAAGATGTTCTCATCACTCTGGAGATTCTGAGAGTCCTAGAAGCTTTTGTGTCAGGAACCAGAAGTAGAGACCAAATATATATATATATATATATATACATATAATTATTTTATTTTATTTTTTATTTTCAAAAATATATTTTTTTATTTTTTCACACTTATTTCTTCCATGAGTAAGAGAGACAGAGAGACACAGAGAGAGAGATAGCACCTCAAGGAGGTCCTGATCCCGTGGTCCACCCCAGCTCTCAGCTAGCCTGAGGTCACGGCACAAGCTTGCCTGCCTCAGGGAGGTCCCAGACCAGAACTGGGACCCCTCCCCTCCATGTAGGATAGCTTTGCAGAGTGTCACGTTTTACCGCTGCATCATGTCTGGGCCCCTAGAGTTCTTACCATGTCACAGTAAACGAATTGCAGATACGAAGCAATAAACCTTGCCAACACAGCTGAATATCCCCTGGGCACTCCTGCCCAGGCCCTCCTGCTTCCTCCCCTGCAGAGGCCCCCACTCTTCTGGATTTGAACACACAATTGAGCATTAGGAGGCAGAAGAGTACAGAGGTTAGAACATGGGTTTCCCGAGCCACACGGAGACCCTCAAAGCCTTAGTGTCCCTACTTGGCAAAGGAGATGGTAAAAGAAGCACTCCTCCAAGGGTGGCTGTAAATGCCCTGGTGATCAGCGTGGGGATGGCACCAGGAGGGCTCAGGAAGTGGTGGCCAGCATTAGCTCCAGAGCCTTAAAACCAGGACTCTAGGTCTATCACATGCCCATGTCAGAGGGGAGCAGAGGGAACAGCGGGTCTAATCTTCCACCCCCATTTGTGAAATGACGTGACTGAGGTCAGAGAGAAGGGGGCTAAGCTCACGGAGGGTGCACAGCCCCCTTCTGCACCCACTCACCTATGGGTGAGAGTGGGAGACAGACACAGACATTTTCTGCCTCAGAGTGATTTCCTGTCTAAGGACTGGACATTTGCCTGTTTTTTTGAAACATCCAAAGAGCCTGACAAACTCAAAGGTCTGCCCAGAAACAAGTGATGAAGGCTCTGTCCAGCCAATGGGATCGTGCTGGCCTTTCTACCTGCCGGGGAGCTCCCCTTTTCCTGCCCCACGAAAGGCAGCTTTGGGGAGTGGGGTATTTCCAGCTTTGTGACTTTCACTTCCACATCTCCTCGGTGGGCGGGGTGGTCTCCTGTGGACGAATCAGATTCCTCCCCAGGACCAACTTCAAGAGGCGAGCTGGGGGTTCGGTCCCAGACACGCAGCTAGCAGCAGCAGGAGCCAGGCAGCACAGAGGCAGAGCCATGGACGACCAGCGCGACCTTATCTCCAACCATGAGCAGGTGCCCATTCTGGGCCAGCGCCCCAGAGAAGCGGAGAGGTAGGTGTGAGCGCCAGGAGAGAGCACACCAAGCCTGAGCTTCACGGATGGGGGGCCTGGAGCCAGTCACAGGAGGAGGGAGTCAGGCTCTGCCTCTAACTTACTTTTTGGGTGATTTTGAGCAAGTTTCTGACTGGTTCTGGGCTTCGGTTGTCCCTCTTATAAAATGAGGATGTTCCTTTCAATCAGGGGTCTGTAACTTCCTTTGCATACCGCTTCCCTCTTCTGGAAAGAGGAGAGTCCTGGGTTCTCTCCTTGGAGTTTCAGACGTTAAGGGCGTCACAGACTCCGCTGGAACTGAGCAATAAAACCCTAGGCTGGAAACCTTGGGCCGGAGCTGGAAAAGGTTTCAGTGGAGAAACAAAGTTTCTGAAAGAAGGTGGGAGGAACAGCTCTTTGCTAGGAGTTTCCTCCCATTTATGGGTATCGGTGTTTGTGTCAAGGGAATTATAGCCGCAGGTGTCTGCAAGGGAGATGGGGACATCTGTCGTCACAGGAGGGTGCAAGGGAAGGGGGTCAAAAAGGAGGGACTGGCTCTGGAGAAGTCTCTGGAAAAGTTCAGGATTGATGCAGGTCATGCCCTACCTGTGGCCCCCTCCCTCGCTGCAAGGGGCCAGCACGGTCATTCAGAGGGCCCCAGATCCCCTCTCCCAACCCTCGAACAGCCTCACCCATGTGTTCTCCCTCCAGAAGCCAAAAGGAGGCTAGAATGCAGCCACCCCAATACCCTTACTCTTCCCCAGCTCCAAAAAACAAATTTGCAGTCTCCAGGGACGTAATGGCTAGATGTGATGTCAGCTGTTGTCAGGCAGACAGGGGTTTGGGAGACACCCAGATGACTCAAGGACTGTGTTCTGGGAGGGACGAGGGAACCAGATGCAGGCAGACTGCTCGCACGGTGACCTATGAGAACTCCAGGAGTCCTACGGCAACTCCCTGCTGAGAATGAGACTGGTCTAGATTTTACTTCTGTCAAACGTGAACTTGGAAAAGCCACTGCCTCTCCCTGGGTCTCAGCAATGACAATGGTAGCTATATTAATGGTTCTGTTCCCCATGTTCCTGTCACAGCTGTCACTGTTACGTGCTGGGCACATAACTAAGGGCTTAACCTCATCCTAATTCCCACAGTTGCTTTTACCAACCGCATTTTACAGCAGAAGAGAGTGAGGCTACTACTAAGTGACTTACCAGGGCTGTCAGAGCTAGTGAGGAGGAGCTTGAGCCCAGGACTGGTTTGATTTCAAAGTGGGTGCTCACTTCTGGATCTGGCCCCCTTTCAAAGCTTTTTTTTTTTTTTTTTTTTTTTTTTTTTTTTTTTTTTTTTCCCGTGGGCCTGGGTCTTGCCGTAGGGCACGTGCTCTCGCTGGAGAGAGGCAGCAAGAGACAGTGAGGGGGAAAGTGAGAAATCACCCCCTAGGGTTGATGGTCACATGCCACAATCCCTTCTCCTCCATTCTCTCCCTGGGATTTTAGGCATGCACACACACGTGCCCAGCATGATTTTCAAGGCACCAGGTCCAGTGCTTGCACCGCCGTCTGTCAGGTGGGAGTCTAGCACTATGTCACCTGCTGACCCCACATTTTGAGTTAAACAAAAAATGCTTGTAGTCACGTGTGTATAAAGGAGTAATGAGAGAGAGTGACAGAGAAAGTGCCCCTCTCCCACGGGGCCCAGTCATGCTGCAATTCCCCTTCTTCCAACCTCCCTTCCTTAAGATCCCGGGTATGTGTGCATATGTGACTGGTATGTTTTCAAGTCACTCGGCCAGGGTTCCAACCATAGTTGGCCATGGTTTGAAGTGCTTCACCACTGCGCTACACGGCCAGCCCTGGCCCCCTTTCAGAGGTGTGATTTCTTAGTGAGTTACAGACTCAGGTGGACTCAGTGTTCAGAAAGGGTATCTCTTCATCAAATCTGTGTCTGGATTTCATTTTAGTTTGGCTATTGCTGCTGAAACTGGCCTGGTTCTATGTGCTCAGGCCATTCCAGACTAGACCTTGTTTTGGACCCTTTTGTGAACACTTCTGCCTGGCAACATCTGTGTCATGATTCTTGCTAGTTCTGGTTGGCTCCTGCCTTTGACAGATTACTTTTTTTTTTTTTTTAATTCCAGAAGGAGGCAGTACAAAGGAGGAAATAAAGAGGGGGTGATAAGAGTTGGCGTTCTACCAGAACCAGGGGACAGGCATTCAAGAGGAAGGAAACCAGATGCTAAACTAGCAACTCCCTTGAGAATCATGCTAAGCGCTATTATGTAGAGAGTGCTATGAGCTAGGTGTAGGCCAAGAGCTTTACCCTCCTTGCCTCAGTGCAACCACCCTTACATGTTCTTGCCAGATTTACTCATGCAAATAGGTTAGTGACTTGCTCATGGTCGCCCAGCTAAGGGAGAGCAGAACCAGTCCAATCCAGTTTCATCGCTAGCATGAATCTCTACTCAGACTTTCTGAGAAACCAAAGTTCAGAGAGGGAAAGGGCTTCTCCAGGATCACATGGCAGGAGGTAGAGAAGGGATGAGAGCGCAGTGTGTGTTGCAGAAGGGCTGAGCATGGAGAGATAATGAGGCTAGAGACCTGAACCCACGTAAGACTGAAGATGGGGGTGGGAGGGACTTTCCATCCCTCTCCTTCTCTAGAGGTGAGGCCACTCCTGTTCCTCAGGAGGGCCAGGAGGTAGAGTTTGTTTTCCCCTACCTGGTCTCTTCCTTTTCCCTGTTCAGGGTTTCTACTTTTTTCTTTCAGAATGACTCTTGTTGGCCCAGAAAACACAGAGGGCCAATGAGGATGAGCCAAGTCTGTGATTCATGAGTTACTAGGTAGAAAGGTCTCCTGGCATTTCCTAAACTCACCTGGCTGGTTGTTGGAGTATGCACAGTGATGTCCCATCTTTTTTT